CCGACGGTTCTTGTCAAATTAAATACCCGAACGGATATCTGAATTGAGAACCGACGGGTACAGTTCGATTCTAGACCAAGAATCGAAGAACCGAATAAGAATCAAATCTTTCTAAATTTTTTTTTATATATTGAGTAAATCAAATTATTTTAATTTTAATTTTTCTAAACAAATTAACAATTTCTAAATACAAATTTTCGACCTAATAATTAGTTTCATTTCTAATTTTTAAATTTTTGGCCCAATTACCCATTTTATTATTTCATTTCTTAACCCAACAAGATCTAATCCACTAAATAACCCTAAACACCTACACTAAAGTGCATAACATTGTCTTAACTCTCGTACTCACCCTCCTAGCCTCGCTAATATTCCAAAACCTATACAATCGTCGGTCGATACTGTGACCTCCGATCGAAACTGTGACCTCCGCCGACCGAAACTTTGAGTGTAGCGATCATTTGAACAAGGTAGTTTACTAGTCTTTAGCATTCCAAAATCATTGAATGTATCATTAGTTGTATTTATAAAATATTGATATAAATGTTAAAAATTTAATTATAGTACAGAACCGAACCGAACCCGAACGGTTCCATAATTATATTTGGACCCGACGATTCCATTTACTAGATACCCGAAAATTTTGATTCGGTTCGATTCTTGAATAATTTCCTGGCCTAAATAGCACTTTCAAGAAATATCGCACTGCCAAACCCAGAATATGGAGGGAAATTCCAATTAATATCGCCGGGAATTATTGCATATCAATAGATGACACACCCACAAAGAGATGCTAGAGCATACTTTACTGTTGCGAATGCTTTGTTCAAGGAATGCAATAAAATCTAGAAGTCTGAAGCTCAAAACAGCAGCTAAAAAATGTTGACATGGCACGTCATCAGCTCAGCCACGTCAACTAGTTCTCTTTTCATTCGTATAAAATAAATTTCAGATTTCTTGACTCGAAAAAATCACAACTATTTAATTATGTATTCTCATTGCTTAAATAACAGTCTTGAAGCTTTCAAAAAGGCACTTCACATGAGAAAATGATGTACGCATGGACAGAATAACATACAATGTGGTAAAAGAAAATGTGAAATCACTTATATTAGATAAAAAGGTTCAGTTGCCTACCCCTCGTCTAAAAATGAATCCTTCAATGAACCTCCAGGTTTCTTAATGATCTGAATTGACTCCAGATTTGTGCTGCCCTGTATTTTCCAACCAACTAATTAGAGAAACTACTGGGAACTTTAACAAACAAAGTGAATGATTTAAACTGAAGGCCTCAGAAGCTAAAAACACAACCATAATCAAGAACACAATTGATGAAAGAACGATGGGTTAAAGACTGAAATAGGTTTCTACTAGCACATTTGCAAATAAGATGATATTGCAGATCCTAGGTAACCAACTCAGAAGGCTAAAACATCAAAATGTTCTAATGAAGAGACATGCAGTACTATTAGTGTGTCATATTAACAGATTATTATGAATAACCACCTTTCAAAGCCCTTGCCAATGCAAATATTCTGTAGCGAGACCCAGATTAAAGAAATAAGTATGTACATGTACATGATTCAGTATGTCTGATCATATGGCTAGCATATAAGAGGCTTCTATATTTAGAAGTTAAGACCAAGTATGAGTGGACTTTATATTTTTCTGGGCAAGGGCAAGTAGATGGCCATTTCAACCATGCCCACTCATTATATTTGTCCTTTTCTACGACTCTATACATTGTTGTCTAGTGAAAGGGCAGTCGAAAAAGATGTCCCAACCCACCGCAACATTAAGCTCCCACCATTTCTTACGCAACAAGCAAAAAATTAGGTGAATGAACAGATAAGTAACAAAAGACAGGTTAAAGAGGCTCAAAGCGCTCCATCATTTTGTTCACAAACCAGATAGCTTTGTACAAATATGCAAGTAACTGTAAAAGGCTTGAAGTCAATCACACACAACATGATCCATACAGATGTGATGCAACGGTATTCATTTGATCATTATAAATTTTGAACTCACAAAGAAAATCCAGCATAGCAAATGCAGCTAAAAAAAATTTCCATCAGTTTCAGAAGAACCTTTTTTTTATAGCTTAAATTGCTATTATCAAAGGACAAGAATTGATAGTTATGACAAAATCGTCTTTGTAGCACACTCAAGGCATCAAACTCACAAGCAACTAAGTGCAAATGACTTTACCTTTAGCCTCATAACTGCATCAACAGTTAGTTTTGCAAAATGTTCTTTGTCCTGTGATAGAATTTTGGAACTCAAAGTGGTCATTGCTATCTTGAACAAATCTTCTTTGAATTTCTCTGCAAGATCACCAAGTTTGTGCTTAGGCATATCAATGCAAGCATATCACAGTTCAACTCAAGAAACAGCCAAAAGGTGGACTAAATCACACATTCAAGTAAAATCCAGAGTTGACAAATCTTATTACCTTCTCATTATAGACAAATTATTTTCTTAAAGAGTAGATCATTTCCATCTTTACAAACGCAATAAAATTTGGTTCTATCTATCTGTGATTTCCATGTGAAGCAAGTTGGCAAGTACAAAGGGTGATAGTATAGCACCAAGATGCGAACTTCTGGATAGACCAAATGGAGAAGTATTCTAATAGGTGTCCAAGCATATGTAATAAGATTTTTGTGAATTACAAAAATATATGATTACAAACCAAATTAAGTTATATAAAAGATTAAAGGATGACCAGATTTGATGAATAAACCAGCAAAAATTATACATATATCAGGGGTACCAAATTCAAAAGTGAGAATGAGATGTAGATATTAATTACCAGCATCCTGTTTATTATCCATAACCTTTTCCAGCAAAGCTTTCCTAGCAGCTTCAGCTGCCATACGATATCCTGAAATGTGTATATAGTAATTATTTAAAAAACTCATAAAAATTCCAATCAAATATACCTTCATTAGATCTAAGAATTACAGAACATCACATTTACATCACACATACCAACAGTTAAAATGAAATTCAACTATCTCTAACGTTGTGAGGAGGAATTTTTGTTGTTGGCTCCAAAAAGCTGACTAATTCCATCGGTTCAAAAATAGAAAGGTTATTGAAGAGATGGAAACAAAGCAGTTTAAAAGGCACAAGTGCAATGCAACTATAATTATCATATAAATACTAAACTCTTGCTCGTTCAATACTGTTGCTCGTTCATTTTTCATATTGACCAAGTGTAAAGAATCTGAAGTACTTTCCATAACTACGGAAATAGCACTCACGAAACAATGAATAAGAGAAGTAAAATCATAAATAAGACCATTAAAAAACATATAACTTACCTGCAATAATTGTCATTGGATGAATCTTTGAGTTTACCAGCTTCTCCGCCTCCCTTAAAAGCTCCCCAGCCAAGACAACAACTGAAGTTGTTCCATCGCCAACTTCATCATCTTGGACTTTTGAGATGTCTAATATTGGAATTAAGGCTTTCCAGTGCATTAGTTATACAGACTACTATAGTTTTAGCTTCCAAAAAAATTTTGATTTTGAGAAGAAATGCAGAGTCAAATCAGCTTGCCATTTTAATTTTCATAGACGTGAATGATTTTGGACCGCATATGCTAGAATAGTTGAAATATAACAATTGGACCTCAACTTATTTTAAGATCATGACCTAGATCATGTAAGATCTGTAAAATTCAACAGCTCAAGCTTCACATCCACCATTACACATAGCACATGGAAGTTTTTTCAAGGTAAAAATCACAGCACAACAATTACTTAAAATCAAGGATACCCACAAGGACTTTGGCAGCAGGGTTGTCAATATGGAGGGACTTTAGGATGGTAGCACCATCATTCGTAACTGTAACACTGTGCCCTCTGCCAGTTGACTGTAAAATTTTATCCTACAAAGGGAAGTTGCACAATGAGCTAACAAATTAAAATATAACCTAACCTGTACACAAAATCAACAAGCTTTTTACCATCCCCTTAGGCCCCAATGTCGTCTTCACCAAGTCAGCAATTGCCATCGCCCCAATAAAGGAAGCCTAATATTGAAACCCACAAAAACAATTGTTAGTCCAGAAACGACAGTCCACCACAATTCATATCCGATATTTCCTACATATAAAATATGTCATTGACGAACTGTTTCAAAATCAAATGAGTCGTAGCAATAATTAGACCTCACGCTCCTATTTTAAAAACAAGCACATGCTATCCTACCACAATAACTGTTCAATTCATTTATTTTAGATTATGTAATACTTACCATTCTTGCTCTCTCACCCTTTTCTTCCGTAGCTTCATCTTTAAAAAGCCTTTCTATCTGCACAATCACATCACATTTTCAAAGCCAAATTCACATAAAATAAATAACTGACAACTCAAAGTAAAGTAAGCATCTAACATACCGCCATGGGGACAGGAACTGAGAAGTGAACGTGGAATCCAAATATCCGGTAATGATTTTCTGGAATCCAAATGTTCGTCAATGAATAAATAAAAATCAGTCGAAAAACAAATATTTAAAAAATCGAATAAACCCTAACCAGTGTTAAACGTGAACTAATTAGTCCAGTGCTAAAAGCAAGAGGATCTAACGAAGATAATTAAGCGGGGAAAAGAAAACTTCATAGATAAATAAATAAAATAATAAATAACCTAAAGAGGGAAACTTCCAGTAGACACAGTTTTTCTGTTCTGGAGAGTTCAGAGCGTACTTATACTAACAGGTAGGTTTAGTCATTCACCCAGCCAAAGCACCCAAATTATTTATTTATTTTTTTAATATAAAATGTAGGGAAATTTGGTGAAATAGCCAGATTATCCAATAATTTTGAATCAATGGCCTTTAACCAATACAAAAAAGAGAAAAAAAATCAGAATAATTTAATTAATATGACCAAACTATCCTCCACATTTTAACACAAAAATTCTTCCAAATTCCCTCGTTCACTCATTTTCTTCTTAGGTAAACTCTATTCTCCCAAATTTAAAAATCAACGTCTCTCTTTTTCTTCCTCTTTGTGGAAATTTCACAAAATCTACTACAAATTAGTTAAAATTTATCTTCTTCCCCTCTTCATCGTTTTCGATTTTAAGTTCTCAAAATTACAATCACATGTTTTCTTCTCTTCAATAACCATTCTTGTCATTCTAAAATTATGTTCTTTATTATATTTTTCACTTATTTTAGGTATCTTTTGAGTATTTGAACAAGGATTTGGTTAGCATATCATTTACATTGAAAAATTGCATTTACATTCAAAGAAAGAAGGAAATATGTTCTTAGAAATTCCATCTATGTTGTATTTTTATTATTAAATAATATTTAGTTGGTATTATTTTCGTATTTAGTTTATTTTTTGTGTTATCTGCAACCATTGAATGTAATAACACTTCAACTTCTATTTGAAATAAAGAACATTATTCCAGTCGTTATCTGTGAAGTAAAACGACACTACAGTCGTTATCTACTATAGTTAGATTTTTTCAAGGAAATGACTCTAATAATGGACTCACTAACGTATATAACACAAAAGATTGGTTAATCACAAAGAACGATTAAAATGATGTAACATTTATATCATTGTGATGGTGAAAATATAAGTTTTCACACTTATATGTGTCGATTAAATTAATAAACATATCTATCAGCTTTTGTACATGTCATGTACATATTACAATATAAATAAGTTTCACTTATTATTTTTCAATGAACGAATGGACCGTGACTACTTATACTCATAGTTATACACGTAACAGCACTTGTGTCGTTCTGAAATTTTCACCTATATTCGATTTTTTCAAAAAAACAATATTTAATAATGGACTCCCTGACATATGTAATATGGAAAGTTTGACGATGTCGTAAATAACGTAAATGAGTTCCACTATTGTTCTCGGGATATAGATAAGACGTAGCTGCTTTTACTCGTTTTTACACGTATAGCCCTTGTTTGAGTCTCACTTTATCAAAATGTATTTTTGAACAGTAATTTGATCCTATCTTAACAACACGTTTTTCAATAAAATAATTTTATACGCAAACTCAAATATTTCTTATTTTTTAATCACACATTATACATCATAACAATATTACAAAATTCATTTTTTGATAAAAAAGGGTTCAAACAACCCCATAATGGCACAATGGTCGTTTTCATATTAATAACGGCATGCTGTTGATTTTTCTAACATTTTTGCTAATATCTTTTTAGTTAAATGTGCTAATTAATTGTCAGTCTAACATCCCAATGTGAGCTAAGAAATATGCTCATTAATTGTCAATCTAACATCCTAATGATGGCAAAACTGTCGTTATAATTGTAAATTTACTTGTTTATAAGAACGACACTTATGTCGTTACTAAGATGAAAACGTCACTTCTATATGAGAATAACACTTGTATCGTTACTGAGATGACATATTTATGAGAACTACAAATTGTCATTATATTTGATCTATAAATGTCCATGAGAATGACATAAGTGCTATTTACAGTATATTGAAAGTCCTTGAAAACGGTACTAGTGTCGTTACTGAGATGAAAAGATTTAAAAGAACAGCACAAGTGACGTACATAAATATAAATTTCTATTATTACTATGAGAACTGCACAATTTAGTGTCCAATTCTAAAGATCATTGCGTTGAAAACAAACGAAATTAAAGGAAAAATCAACATAACAGCTCAAGTGCCATTACTAATAATAAAACGGCACTTGCATTGTTTCGTCTATCATCAAGAGTTTAAGCAACCAGGACCCATCCCTGCCTCTTGAAATAATATGTTGAATTCATTTAACTTGTAAGTTGATTATGGCATTTAAAAAAATTACGAGATATGCTCATTATTTGTATTTTATTAAAAAAAATTACGAGATATGTCAATACAACCGTTCTTTGTCATGTGATCAATTTTTCTAACTTTCTTAAGTTAGGAGGTCCATGTTTGAGATCACGTGATAAGCACATGTTTGCTTCAAGTAGAATATTAATTGTAGTTGCAATTTTCAAGTCTTTCATTTAAATGTGCGTATGCATTTCTATGATAACAGTAATTCGGTCGTTATTTTGGTCAAGTTTTGCTCGTAAGAATGCCGCTTGTGCTGTTAATATTTAAAATAGTATAACTATCGTTATATTTAAATTTACAAGTCTACGAGAACGACGCTTGTGCTGTTACTGATTTTGAAAAGTTTTAAAAGAACGACACAAGTGATAATGACAAAACCTTATTAATGGGAATGACGTTACTATTCATATAACGACACTTGTGCCGATATTGACGAGAGAACGAGTATAAGCAGCCATGAGTCTTTCGGGCCCCAATATTCAATAAATTGAACTCATTTAAGTTGCGAGATGGACATGCCGCCCACATAATTTGGGAGATACTTTCATTACTTTTTGTTTTTTTACGAATGTGGATGTTGACTTGTGATTTCACCAACTCAACATCTATAATCTATGCCAATTCTACCATTATTCGTCACGTAATCAATAATTATGACTTTCTTAAGTTAGAAGGTCTGATCCTTGAGGTCGACGGAGTGAAAATAAAGCGAAATATAGGAAAAACTAACAGAACGATACAGGTGACATTATAAACACGTGTATGAGCAGCCATGAGCCTTCCGAGCCTCGATATTCCGTAATTTGAACTCATTTAAGTCGCTTAATGGACATGCCGCTCACATAATTTGGGAGATACTCTCATTACTTTTGTTTCCAACGAATGTGAATCGTGACATGTGATTTCACCAACGCGACATCCACAATCTATGCTAATTCTATCGTTATTCATCGCGTAATCAATAATTCTGACTTTCTTAAGTTAGGAGGTCCTATCTTTGAGGTCGACGATGTGGAAATAAAGTGAAATATAGGAGAAACCAACATAACGACACAGGTGCCGTTAGACGTCAGTCGTATCGTTCTGTCAATAAACGTGAGTATGAGCAGCTACAAGTCTTTTGGGCCTCGATAGTCCATAATTTGAACTCATTTAAGTCGCGATATGGACATAAAAAATGTGGATGGTGACTTTTGATTTCACCAACGCTACATCTACAATCTCTATCAATTCTACCGTTATTCGTCACGTAATCAATAATTCTGACTTTTTTATATTAGGAGGTCCGATCCTTAAGGTTGACGTGGTGGAAATGAAACGAAATATAGTAGAAATCAACAAAACGACACATGTCCTGTTAAACATCACCTGTGTCGTTCTGTCGATAAATAGAGTATGCGCAGCCGTGAGCCTTTCGGGCCTCGATATTCCAAAATTTGAACTTATTTAAGTTGCGAGATGGACATGCCGCTCACATAATTTGAGAGATATTCTCATTACTTTTATTTTCTAACGAATGTGGATGGTGACTTGGGATTTCACCAACGCGACATCTACAATCTATGCTAATTCTGCCTTTATTCGCCACGTAATCAATAATTATGACTTTCTTATGTTAGGAAGTCCGATCCTTGAGATTAACGTGTTGGAAATGAAGCTAAATAAAGGAGAAACCAATAGAACGACACAGTTGCCGTTAGACGTCACTTGTGTAGTTCCGTCGATAAACATGAGTATGAGTAGCCACGAGCTTTTCGGGCCTCAATATTCGATAATTTGAACTCATTTAAGTCACGAGACGGACATGTCGCTCACATAATTTAGGGGATACTCTCATTACTTTTGTTTTCCAATAAATGTGGATGGTGACTTGTGATTTCACCAACGCGACATCTACAATCTATATCAATTCTACAATTATTCGTCACGTAATTAATAATTATGACTTTCTTAAGTTAGGATGTCCAATCCTTGAGATCGACGAGGTGGAAATGAAGTGAAATATAGGAGAAATCAATAGAACGACAAGGTGCCGTTAAATGTCACGTGTGTCAGTATGTCGATAAACACGAGTATGAGTAGCCACAAGCCTTATGGGCCTCGATATTCGATAATTTGAACTCATTTAAGTCATGAGATGGACATGCCGCTCACATAATTTGAGAGATACTCTCATTACTTTTGTTTTCCAACGAATGTGGATGGTGACTTGTGACTTCACCAACGATGCATCTACAATCTATGCCAATTCTATCGTTATTCGTCACATAATTAATAATTCTGACTTTCTTAAGTGGGGAAGTCCGATTCTTGAGGTCGACGAGGTGACAATGAAGCGAAATATAAGAGAAACCAATAGAACGACACGTGTCATTAAACGTCACTTGTGTTATTTTGTCGATAAATACGTGTATGAGCAGCCACGAGCCTTCCGGACCTCGATATTCGATAATTTGAACTCATTTAAATCGCGAAATGGACATGTCACTCACATAATTTGAAAGATACTCTCATTACTTTTATTTTCCAACGAATGTGGATAGTGATTTGTGATTTCACCAACGCGACGTCTACAATCTATGTCAATTCTATAGTTATTTGTCACGTAATTAATACTAACTTTCTTAAGTTAGGAGGTCCGATCTTTGAGGTCGATGCGATGGAAATGAAGTGAAATATAGGAGAAACCAACCAAACGACACAGGTGCCGTTAAACGTCACTTGTGTCTTCTATCGATAAACATGAGTATGAGCAGTCACGAGCTTTTCGGGCCTTGATATTCAATAATTTGAACTCATTTTAAATCGCAAAATGGACATGTCACTCACATAATTTGGTAGATAC